AAAAAGAACAACAGTCCTCCAAAAAAAACAACACTAGTTTCATTTAGCAGTGGTTAAGTGCCATCAAGTCAAAAACAACTGAGAGTAAACTTTGCACAAAAGCCCTGTCTTCTGTTCTATATAACTAACATCATTCATTTCTGTACATTTATAGAGTTTGAGTTTGTAGAGTTTCCAGAGGCATCTAGTTTAGGAAGTAGATGCCACTCCTGCTTCCTAGTATAAATCAATCAGGAAGTTCATCCAAACATTGTACATAATGAGTAACCATTATGGTATTTGACAAGACTATGGAACAGTGTGCAGCATCACTAGCAAGCATAAGTCCAGAGAGTTGACAGTGTTTGGGCACTGGGATGCCTTTCACTGACAGGTTGAGTCAATTTGTCAACTATATTATCTAGTTGATAAGGAGTAATGCCGCCAACTCAAGGAGTGTGGTGGTGGTGGTGGTTATGTGCCATCGACTCAGGGTCATGTGACTCTAATCAATAGCTGCTCCATGGGAGAAAAATAGGCAATCACCTGCCATGTGACTGGCTGCCTATGATAATCCACTGGAGGGTTAGCTATGTCGTTCCAGCTCAGTGGTACATTAACAACAACAGTTTTAACTAAAACAAATTTTCATCAAAAAGGCAAATTTTTAGATCCCTAGAAAATGAAACTGCAAGCTGAAGACAATTCCAGTGTCACACAGAGCAGAAGAAAGGGCAGAGTAACTGTTTCTTTTACTCAGGAGGTAGAATGAAATATTATCATTAGAGGTGGGTCAAAAGATTTCAAAATTATCAAGAAGACCTATGGATAGATTGTGTTCTTTAGCAATAAGAATGAACTTTACCCTTAGTGTACAATACCCATAAATATTCAACTACCTAAAAATGCAGTGTATGTGTTCAATTTTTCTATAAAAACACATTTATTGAAAAAAATTATACAAAACACATTCAAACGTCAAAAAATTTTAATGACAAAAACATGTTCATAAGAAGACAAATTTTAGAAATTCTACTTCCTTTTTTAGTGGCAAAACTAACAGATTAAGTACCAATCAACATCCACTGTTTTTACAACCAGTATTCTAAATAGTTGTATGTTTAAAGCATGCAAAAGATACGCCTTCAACAGTACTAGAGAAGAAGAGCAAGAGAATGGAGGGTTTCTACTCAAGGAGCTCAGTCACTTGGATGACAGATTAAGTATGTAAGTAAATGTAAAGTCAGACCAGCAGGCAATGTTGTCAACCAAGTATTTCAGGTTCTCCTTGCCAAGGCAGCACTTTCCAATCTCCTTAAAGCTAAGAGAGCCCACAGGACCAAGGAAACAAACCACATGTCACTTCTGAGCAAAAAATGTTTTAAGTGCTGAGTTATTTGCTATACATTTTCCATTCATGACAGGTAAGGCTCCAAACAATCCCAGCTCCCACTTTACAGTGGTCAGAATGAATGACTTTTAATACAAGTTGAGAAATAAAAACCACTGTTCACATGTATTCACATTTGGAAGCTCTTTATACTACAACTTAAATTAGACTATTCTGATGGGCTAATTTTGATTTGCAAGGTAATTCTGATAAAAAATGATGAAAACGTTAAGGAGGAATGTGTTACACTTCATTCTGGATCTGTTCAATATTGTTATAGGAGATGATTTTCTTATAAAATAGGGGCACTGTATTTTTTTATCTTATTAATTTTAATGAACATTTAAAGATATTTTGAATTTCCATTCATTCACTGTTGCATTTTTCTCCCTGCCCATACCTCCCCTCCAGTTCACTCTTCTCTTTGAAAAGTAAAAGAAAAAAAAATCTTTCATTGGTATACAAGCCCCTACACACACCCACACACACAGAGGGCACTGTATTTTACAGTCTATATTCTTCTAAGAACCAAAAGGACCCTGACAGTTCAAATTCACCAGAATAGCTACAGGAGGAAGATGGGCAGTCTGCTCCTGTTAAGACTTCCAGCCTTGGAAACCCTGTAGCGGGCTACTATGAGTCAGAATCAATTTGATGAGAGTGTGCTTTATTTCACTCTAGAAAATACAGAAAAATATATTAGTTTGTAAAAAGCCTTTCAAAATCGCAATTATATTTGCAGTGTTGCTGTAAGCCTTCCCTCGGGCCTGAAAGCCTGAGAGGATGAACCACCACCTCTCCTCTCCTAAAGCCCAGCCGTGAGCCATAAGGCCACTTGAATCAGTAGCATGTGTCACAGATAACTAAAGCAGGAAGAGAGGCCAGCCTAAGTAACATGTAGCAGCTAGATCAAATGATTATTTCCTGTTCGTGACAGAATATAAAACCACTGCCCTGTCCTCACTAGGGGCTGAGGCCATTTTTAATCTCAGACTTCCTGTACCTAGGTGTCTATTAAACAGCATGGTGCCACACAAGGCCCCAGTGTTGTTTTGCTGGCACACTCTCCAGGTTTGAACCAACCGAGAGACTGAAAACAAAACCCTTCAGTTGCCAAGTATTCTGTATACTTATATTGTGCTCTTAAACCCACCCAAAATGCCACTTTTAAATTATGCTCTGGTGGCCTAGTGGCAAGAAGCTGCACTGCAATCCCCAAGGCACGCAGTTCTAAGCCACCAGATGCCCCACAGGAAAAAGATGGGCAATCTCATCCCATGCAATTAACTGCCTCTGAAAATCCACTGGAAGGTCAGCTATGGGTTGGTTCCAACTCTACGGTACACTACAACAATATCACTAATATAAATTTAGAAACAGAAATACATCTACCTTTGAGAATCTCAAACATTCAACTAAAAGTCATCAGAAAACCTGTACATCATAATCGAGCTATTTAGAAAATTTCTTAACTCAGACATCAAAACAGATGTCAAGTACATAAAGAAAGCAAACAACCTGTAAGTTCACTATGACCTGGCATACTGTGGTACAAGAAAAAAACCTCCTGAGGTGCACAGTTCCAGTCCACCAGATGCTCTGCTGAAGAAGGAGGAACAACTGCCTCTTGTCCCAGTCAGATCCAATTTGACGGTACACACATAAAATAAATAAATAAAAATTATTAAAAAAAAAAAAGAAAGAAAAAACTTCCTTAATTCTCCACCCTAGGGGAGCTCTGCTGGCCTAGTGGCAAGGAGCTGCAACTACAATCCCAGAGGCAAACGGTTTGAATCCACCAGATGCTCTGCCGGGTAAGGAGGGACAATCTCCTCCTGTACCAGTCAGATCTGATTTGACAGTACACGCACACAAATAAAATAAAATAAAAAACATTCTCCACCCTTAAAAAAGATGTGTCGTTTGGTTACTTTTCAACTCTGCAGGAACAAAAAAACAACAAAAAAACACCACAAAAAATGTAACATACGTGTCTTGGACGTCAAACTGGACTTTTTCCATGTAGATTAAAAACCTCTCAATTTTTACCCACTCTCTGAGAGAATTTCTTTCTGCACTTGAGTTGTTATGAGTCATAGCTGACTTGACAGCACCGAATAGTAACAGAGAGGGCAAAGGTAGAACCTAGATTCTGTCCGCCACCACCAACCTCGGCCCCATCTACAAGGGAGCTCCGTTCAAGTGCTAGCCATGGGTTAGGCATTCTCCTAAAACCTATTAAAAAAGCTGGGAGCAAATTTTCTAAACTTGTCATTGGTTCATTCTGATTCTCCAGTTTTAAAGCTGTCCGGTCTTCATGTTTCTTACCATGACTACCATGTAATAAACTAGTCTATATATAAAAGCTGAATTTATCTCAATTCATTTTCTAAGATAAAAATCCTATACCATAACAATATTATTATTAAGTTTAAAATTGTTTCATAACCTCAAATTTTACTCACTAAACATTAACACTGCTCTCCTTAGTCCTAAACCCTGTTAACCACAATCTACTTCCGTCTCTATGCATTTGCTATTCTAGTTCTTTGGGACTTGTGCTTCCAATCCAAAGGGCATGCCTTTCTGATTATTCAAATCTACCAGTGGCTCCACAGAAAAAATATGGCCAGTCCCCTACAAAAAAAAAGATTTAGTCTCAGAAACCCAAAGGAAGATCAACTATAAACTGATTTCATCTCCAAGACAATGAGAGGTATTTCATACATGTATATGGAATCATGTATTTGTCCTTTTGTGTAAGACTTATTTCCCATGTAATGTTTTCATGGGCTATCCAGTGTTATGTGATACAGAGTAACAGATGATTTTGTGATACAAATGAAGACTGTATCAGAACTTCATTTCTTTATGACTAAGTAATTGTCTGCTGTATGTGTATAAGGAATTCTGTTAGCACAGTATGTAATGTACAGAGCTGCTAAGCAGAAAAGGTCATTTGCTTGCATCTACCAGCTGCTCCACAGAAAAAAATGAGCAGTCTCCTCTCATAAAGGTTTACAGTCTCAGAAACCCAATGAAGGATCAGAGTCAGAAAAGATTCAAAGTCAATGGGTTTGGGTGGGTGGTGGCAGTTATTTTAGAGGCCATCTAGTCAACTATGGCTCACAGTGAGCCCATGATCAACAGATCTGAACCGTGCACTATCCTGTGCCACCCCAAGTAACCCTGCCTATTGTTTCAGGCATTGCCTCACTCCATCTTGTTGAGAGTATTCCTCTCTTCTGTTGGTCCTGTACTTTTCCCACCATGATGTCTTTTTCAAAAGACTGGTCCCTCCTGACATGGTTCAATGTATGTGAGCTTAAGTTTCACCAATTTTTCTTCAGTTATTTTAAGTATATTCCACATTTTGTCCATCCAGTCATCTGTTGATGAGTATATGGCTTGATTCTGCCTTTCGGCTATTTTGAGTAATACTGCAATGAACACTAATATAAGGAGGTAATGAAGTTTTTAAAATCATTATTTTCCCCAATCAGAAAGTGATTACAATAATGTTTGCTTAAATAAACAAGTTTCTGGCTGTTTTGTACAGGCTCCTTTCAAAAGCAGCTTACCATTTTATAACACTTTTAAACAGAATTCCCTTTCCAGTTGATAAACTTACCGCTAAGTAATTCAATCCAGTTTTGGACTGTTTCTGGAGGCTGAGTCTCCTTAACATGCTTTAGAGCTTCATCAAGAAGAACATCCCCTGTTGGAGCATCTGACTTACAGATGACCTAAAATGTAAACAGAAAAGAGTAAATTGGCTCACGCAATGTTTTCTATCTTGCTCTCACCAAATTAGAAACAAACTAATTTTGCAAATAATTCAGTATACTTAAGGCTCCAAGTGCTAACGCAATATCAAAGTTCACCTTTTAAATATGAAGACCTAAGAATGGAAGGACATTTGAAGGAAAGCCTCCAAACATCAGAGTTCCTTTTTTCTTAGTCTCTTAAAATACACAAATAAATATGGGGAGAAATCATTAGTACCCCATGAACAAAAAAAAACAAAACACAAAAAACAAACAAACCCAACAACAAACAATCCCAAGGTATTCAATTTCTATCCACCAAACAAGAAGCCACAATTTAAAAATAAAAAGACACCAAACTTCTATAGCCACAATAAAAAACACAGAGATGGATCAGAAATCATAATCAAGACAACATCATCTAGCTTCTAAAAGGACTAGAAAGTGGAAGTCAAAAGGCACAGGAAATACAAGAAAAATTTCCAGGACCAAATACAGACATTCTTTGATTCAAAGAGTCCGTGCATAACGTATTTCAACTGAGCCATACCAAAAATTATGGTATTTCACAACATCAGAGATAAATAAATTCTCTCAAAAGCTTAAAGAGAGTAAAAACAGAAAAGCTAACATTTCTTTACAGCCAAATCATCAAGCTATAAAGTGAAGGAAAATAAGGGACTAGTTCAGACTGGAGCATCAGAGAAATTTTAATGATATAGCTAACCACCAGCTGTTAGCTGGAAGGCTCTGTGTTTAAGTAAATCAGGATCTGGTGGGTAGGCCTTTGTATTTAAAAGTCAGTTGGCCCTAAGTCTTCAGTTTGGAGGCTCAAGTGTTAATCAGTTAGATTCTGGAGAGTAGGTTCTCTTGATTTAGTTGAAAGTTCAGTGTAAACGGTTTGGTCATTTTTTAATTTTGTTCACAATCCTGTGTAATCTGACTCGATACATGGATTTAGGTAATCATGAGCAAGGGCTGGAAGCCTCTCATTTAAGTCAATCTAGACCTGGTGGGCAGGCCTTAGTATTTAAAAGTTGGCTGAGCCCAAAGGACTGGCCTGCTGATAACTGTTTGGAAAGAACATTGTTTAAAGTGGGCCAGCACTGGTCTGTCAGTTTGCTGTACTGGAAAATTTGGGGTTGCTGTGATACTGAACACTGTGCCACTGCTGGGTCAAATGTTATAATGGTTACCTATGGTAAAGAGTTATTGGTAGAGCTCCCAGATTAAGACAGGCTTTGAAGCAGGACTGGTATCCACTTCTTAAACAACAGGACTTTGGAAACTATGAACATTAGAGAAATCACACTAGTTACCAAAAAGGGTTCAGATCTTTTGTTCAAAGGGTCACTTTGAGTCATACTTGATTCGAAAACACTTAACAACAATATATATCTGATATCTTCGAACAAGCAATACTTTTTCTCTAAAAAAAAAAACCCTAAAGATGGTTGCATAGGGAAAACCAACAAGGGTAATTAAATGCAGAAAAATTATAGAGAAATAGCTTAAGCCATCACTCCCTTCAGCAAAAAACAACATTATAACAATGTAATCACTACTTTTTTACAAAATGGACATTATTGTTTCTTTATTTGGGAAATGGAAATGATATGAAAGAGTGCCAAATATCAATCTAATAAAAAGTCTCAAAAAACAGATCCAAACAGACTTAATTAGAACTATGGAGGAAAATGCCAAAGAAATAATCGAGAATTATAATAAGCTGAATAGTGCACCTCAAAAAAGGTATGTAGTATGTTCAAATCTTGTTCCTGGAACCTGACTATGGCCTTATTTAAAAGATCTTTGAAGACATAATTAGGGATCTTCATATGAGATCCCATATGAGGATCCCTGTGGGCTCTAATCTATTAAGAAGTTCCTATATAAAGGACACATGTAGAGGAGGGAATGTGAAAGCCAGGCCTAAAATGTAAAAAGATTTCATACTAGCTCTTGTGGTCCTTTTTGTGGGAACCAATGAAAAATAAAAATGAAAAATCTCTAGTCAGCAGGTCACAAAAGTGAAAGTGTGCAATGTGGACTCCCAAACATCTGGCTGTGGTCTACCTATTTGGTCTTTTAACTTGTGAAATCTGACATAGTGGCAATGTGTAAGTGTTATGTAGGCAGCTGATGTCAGAACTGTACAAGAAATTGTTGTTGTTACTGTTCTGTGCTGTTGAGTTCCCTTCAATTCACAGCAACCCTATGTGTAACAGTCCTAAAGCTTTATCTGTCTTTTTTTTTTTTTTAACTTTTAAGTTTTATATATTGTTAGGTGCCCTCGAGTTGACCACACAGTGTCATTAAGGACGACGGATCTAGCTTTATCTGTCTTGAGCGCGTCTCACCGACTCCAGACAAACCTACCCTTTGCCCCAGTAACTCTATCAATCCATCTCACCTGGGATCTTCCTCTCCTGTGTGGGCGGGCCCTCTACCCTTCCAAGCATGATGTCCTTCTCCAAGAATGGTAGGTCCCTCCTGGCCATGTGCCCAAAGTATGAAGATGAAACTTCAAAATCCACAATTAGTAGGGATTTGTTATATCCCCATAGTTGAAGATATTTGTGTTTTATTGGCAATGCAAAAGTATTTGACTGGATTGATCATAACAAACTATAGCCAACATTAAGAATGACAATCCTAGAACACTTAATTATGTTTATATAAAATCCTAGACCTAGACCAAGAAGTTGATCTTAACTACGCTCATACAAAAAAGCAATTATGCTCCTAAAAAATCTGTACCTAGCCAAGAACAGAGCAAGGAAATACTACATGGTTTAGTATCAGGAAAGGTGTTTGTCAGAGTTGTAGCTTGTTTCCAATCTATTCAGTATGTATGCTGAACATATTCAGGAAGCTGAACTTAATAAAGAATGTGACGTGAAAATTGGAGGAAGACTCATCAACAACCCGCCTTATGCAGATGGCACCATACTCTTGCTTGCCAAACAAGGAAGACTTGAAACGCTTGCTGCGGAAGATCAAAGACTATAGTTCTCAATATGAACTGCATCTCAATATCAAGACAAAAATCATCACCACTCTATAGATATGCAATATCATGGCAGATGGAGAAAAGATTCAAATTGTCAACAATTTCATCTTACCAATCAAGAGCCTTGGTACCAGCAGACAGGAGATCAGGAGATGTATTGCACTGAGGAACCATGTTGTCAGGGACCTCTGCAAATTACTGAGGAACAATATTATCAGTTTGAAGACTAAGATGTGCCTGATTTAAGACAAGGTCTTTTCAATTGTTTATTATTTATCTGAGTGCTGGACATTAACTAAGGACGAAAGAAAAAGAACTGAAGTCTTTGAGTTGTGATTTCGGGAGAAGAGTACTGAATATTCTATGGACTATCAAAAGAACAAACAGACATGTCTTGGAAAAAGTGCATGCAGTCAGAGTGCTCCCTAAAGGCAAGGATGGACAAGTTTCATTGCATATTTTGGGTATGTTGCTAGGAAAGGCTATTTTTGGAAAGGGTCATCATGATAGGGAAAGTAGAGGATCCGTGAAGGAGATCCTCAACAATAAAGATTGGCATAGTGACAACAGCAAGGGGCTTGTGTGTCAGAGATGATGAGGATGGCACAGGAAGGGATAGGGTTCAGATCTGTTCACAGGGTTGCTATGCTTGACTCAACAGCACTAACAGCAACATGACTGAAGATAGAATGATGGGATTCCAGGATTTCCACACAACACAGTATTATATCAAATTCATCTGAAACAACACTTCCAAGACACACAAAGGTTAAATAAAAAAGAAACAGGATTGCATTTTTAAGATTGAGGACAGTGCAGGTACCTACACAAACCTTCATGGTTTTTATAGTCAGAGATCTAGAAATTATTCCTAATCTGTTCAAGAGATAAACAACTTATGCAAAGTTAATTTTCATAAAAACCCTTTTTGAGTTTCAAAATGTATGCCATTTAAATAAATGAGTACATAATTTATTTCAAAATGACAGCTTTCAGGGAGCTCAGGTGGCCTAGTACTAAGAAGTTGTGTTTCAATACCACAATAACAACTATCTAGAAGCAGCTAGTGAAGTTTGGAATCACTTTATATATGCCTTGTCCAGTGACTCAATGTACATATAATGAATAACGTAATTCAAAGAAACAGGAACATGCACACAAGAAAGATGGAAACATTGTTCCATAAAAAAATTTAACATCAACTTCCTCTTCTTTGGGAAAGTTACTAGTAAAAATAATTTTAGGCAGCACAAAATCCTTGAAAGAATAGGTTTTGCAGTAATCCTCTTACCTTTCTTGTTAATAGACTTTTCCGTCTCATTCCACAAGCCTCTAGTTGTAACCTTCCTCTCAAGGCTAATTCAATTAACATACAGCCACGTAATCCAGATGATATACAGTCATTCCAAAATGATGTGTAACCCTATTTAAAAAAAAGAAGAAACAAGCTAATTTACCTTGAATCCTGAGAAGAGAAATATTTTAGCCAGATTTTTTAGTCTTTTATATCTTTACATAATTAAATTCTTAAATAAAATACTGAAAATATATTCTTTCTATCAATTACTGGCTCACTCTCTTCTCCTATACACATAAGCAGAATTTTGAGGATCAGACACCTAAACACTAGCACTAGCATTGATCCTTTATCAATCTATGCTTATTAGGCTCTTCAGGTTATAAAGAACAGAACAACATTCAGTTACTCTTACTCAGATTATAGTGCTTATTATTATTTGTTGTTGTCAAATATGACTCACAGCAACTCTATGTATGTACAACAGACCAAAATCTCTGTTGTAAGAAGTCATGAAAAACTAATTCGATTTCATAGAAAATTAGATCACCACTCACTCATCACTTTTAATACACATAATAAAAGGTTAATTTCAGAGGCGTATGTTAGAAAAATCAAATGTATCCATGAACAAAAAAAAAATTAGGCTAGCTTCTGAATGGCAAAAACAAAAAGCCTACAAAGAAAAAGAAAGAACCTGCACTACGCAGGTGACACAGCCTTGCCTGTGATGAGGACTTGAAGTGCTTGCTGTAGAGCACAGACTATATAGCCTTCAAATATGGGATACAGTTCATTAATAAAAAAACAAAAATCCTCATCACTGGCCAACAGCAACATCATGACAGATGGAGAAAAGTTTGAAATTGTCAAAAGTTTCCTCTCACTTGGATCCACAGTTAACACTCATGTTACTAGCAGTCAGAGATCTCTCCAGAGTCCTAAAAAGCAATGAAGTTCATTTAAAAACCAAGGTGTGCCCGATCGAATCCAAGGTCTTCACAGTTGTTTGCTATGGATGATGACTAAGGATGAGAGAATTACATTTGATGCGTTTGAGTTATGGTGTTAGAGAAAAGTACTGACTATCCCCATGGACAGCTAAAAGAACAAATAATTCTGTCCAAGAGAAGGTGCAACCAGGATGCTCTCTGGAGGCATGGATGGTGAAGCTTCAGCTCTGGGTATGTTCTTCAAAGGGGCCAGTCCTTGGAGATGGACATTGTGCTTGTAAAGGTTGAAACTAGATCTAAGAGAAGAAGACCCTTAAAGAGAAAGATTAACAAAGTTACTCTAACAATGGGCTTAAGGGTGTCAGAGATGGTGAGGATGGTACAGAATGAGTCAGGAGTCAGAATCGCTATAAGTCATACTCAAAGGCACATAACAACAGCAGCACTCAGGAGAAAACAGAAAATAAAAAAATTAGTTAAGACTAAGCACCGTATCAGTAAGAGAGAGAAAAGGTCATTCAGTTCTTCAAAGTGGAAGGCCCAGGACTGGGGAGGTTTGGACTCCCAGACTTTTCCACCACCAGTCTTGGATCCGTGTCAGGTAAGAGAGGCCAACCTGTTATTTCAGATAACTAGTCTTCACCATTTATACAAAGACTTAAATTAGCCTATGAAGCATACTACTCCAGAGAATTAAGACTTTAGAAAAAGTAAGAATTAAGATTCACAAAGCCAAAGGGAATAAATAAGAAGATCCCTTTAAAGAGATCAACTTAGTATTTCAGTAGATGACATAACCTTGTTTGCGGAAAATAAGTAATTATTAATGAAATCCAAAGTCTTCAGTATAGATTACGTTCAACATAAAGAGTACAAAAAAATCTTACAACTAGATCACAATATAATGATAAGGAGAAAAGACTGAGGTTGTCAAAATTAAAGTTTACTTGGACCCTCAATCAATATCCACTGAAAGTATAATCAAAAAATCTAATTACATACTACATTGGGTAAATCCATGGCAAAAGATCTTTTTGAGTGATTTTAAAAAAATTTATGTCACTTTGAGGACTCGGGTGTACCTGATCCAAGCCATAAATCAGTATACAATTGCTTCATGTGCATGCAAAAGTTAAATGATGGGAAAAGATGTCAAAAGAAAAATTAACATATTCTAATAGTGCTTCTGGAAAAGTATACTAAGTAAACCAGAGACTGCCAGGAGAACAAACAAGTCTGTCCTGAAGGAAGAACAGCCAATATAACATATAAGCTCTGTCTCCCCTGCTTTGGAAAACTACTCAGGAAGGACCCACTGCTGTAGAAAGGCACCATGGCTAATAAAAAGCAGAAAGCTGGTTAAGAAAGAGATTCTCAATAAGACCAACTCAGCAGCTGTGAAAATGAACTTAACACTCAAACACAACGCTGACTGTGAGGCTGGCACAGGATCAGGTAGCATTTTGTTCTAATAAGCACATAGCTGCTATGAGTCAAAGATGACTCCACGACATGTAACAACAGCTAAGATCCAGGGCTTATGTATCCATGCCATACTACTAAGAAGCCTCAAAAGGAACTCCACATGAAATTAAAGGCAAAAATGTGACTTCAGCTGACAGGCTGACAAATTTAGACATACTATAAACAAAGCCATACATATCATGAAGCAATAACAGAGGTGAACTAGACCATGCCTAGTCTCTGCCATCTGGAAATTCCAGCTGAAAAGCTCTTGGAAGTTTATGTATGCAGGGGACTAAACATGCTCTAACCTCAACTGTTCCTGGAGAAAAGAACACCCAGAGATGTTTGCAATTTCTAACCCCTAAAACAAGCAAACAACCAAACATCTAAAGATGATGATGGTGGTGGTGGTGGTGGTGGTATTAGATGTGCTCACTGTGACTCACAGCTATCAACAGATCTGTAAAGATGGTCGAAGTCTTTTTTATTATTTTTTATTACTATTATTAATTTTAATGAAAGTTTAGAGACTTTGGATTTCCATTCATTCACTGTTGCACTTTTCTCCCTGCCCAACCTCCCCTCCCCCCAGTTCGCTCTTCTCTTTGAAAAGTAAAATTCTTTCCTTGTTATACAGTCCCTCCCCTCCCCCAAGTCCACGCCACTATGCAGCCTTTGTTCTGGACGCCTGTCATGACAACCCAATCATATATCCCTTTTAAACAGTTCTTTCCTCATCTGTTTCAATGCAGTATACATCATTTATACCATCTTTTTTCAGTCTCTCCCCAACCTCAATGTCAGTCCTGTTTCACAAAAGTGGCACTATGCTACATTTATCCTTTTGCGACAGATATTTCACTCAGCATAATGTCTTCCAGGGTCACTTATTTTGTATATTTCATGAGTTTCTTGTTTTTCAATGCAGCATAGTATTCCACCATGTGACTATACCACAGCTTCTCTATACATTCGTTTGTTGATGCGCACTTAGGTTGTTTCCAACTCTCTGCTACTGTGAACAAAGCAGTGATAAACATGGGTGTGCATATATCTGCTTGGGTGGTGGTTATGGTTTCTTTGGGGTATATTCCCAATAGTGGAATTGCTGGGTCAAATGGTATTTCTATTTGCAACTTTCTGAGAAAGCACCATAGTGGTTGCAACATTTTACACTCCCACCAAGAGTGAATAGGGCTACAGTTTCTCCACAACCTCACCAGCATTTGTTGTTTGCTGTTCTGTTAAATTTTGCTATTCTTACTGGGGTGAGATGATATCTCATAGTTGTTTTGATTTGCATCTCTCTTAGAGCTAGGAATTTTGAACTTTTCCTCATGTGTGTGTTTGCCATCTGAATGCCTTTGGTGAAGTGTCTGTTCATATCCGTGTCCATTTTTCAACTGGGCTGTTTACCTTTATCTTCTTGTGGTGCTGGAGTATTTTATAAATTCTAGATATAAGTCCCTTATCTGACATGTCATTCCCAAATATTTTTCCCCAGTCTGTGGCCTCCCTATTTACCCTGCTGGAGTAGTTTTGGGAAGTGCATAGGGATTTGATTTTTAGAAAGTCCCATTCATCTATTTTATCCTCTCCTGGTTGTAGATTTTTCAGGATACTTAGAAGACTGTCTATGTTGTGGATTAGGACTTCTAGAGTTCTTCCAAGCTTTTCTTTAATGTTTATAGTCCTTGGTTTTGGTCCTAGGGCCATGATTGACTTTGAGTTGGTTCTGGTGTACAGAGTAAGGTGTAAGGTGTGGATCTTGCTTGAGTTTTCTGCAGAGTGTTTTCCAATTCTGCCGACCCCATTTATTAAAAAGGCTGTCATTTCTCCACTTAACTGATTTCATCTCCTTGTCAAAAATCAGCGCCATATGTAGATGGGCTGATATTTGGATTTTCAATTCTATTCCATTGACCTATGTGTCTGTCATCGTACCAGTACCATGCTGTCACCAACAAATTCCAAGAATCCATATTTAGTTAAGAGCTTTTGATCCTTATCACTAAAAGACACATGCTTGTATACACTGGATTCACACTGGCAAGTAGATAAATGGGCACTGGACAATTCTGTTCCAAAGATTCCAGGAATTTACCAGCAATCTCCTAAAAATAAATGAAGGGCCATCAAGAACAAAACAAACCACTGAACAGGCTGATACACTGATGGCCTCCAGGTAAAAAACACAGGATAGGAATATGATCAGAAATTAGCCAGGCAGATGGCGAGGAGATTGAGATTGTTAACAATTTCAGCCTACTTAGTTCCACAATCAACACCCTTGGCATCAGCAGTTGGGAAATCAAAAGACAAATTGCATTAAGAAAATCTGCTTTCAGGAACCTCTCCAGAGTGCTAGAGAGCAATGATGTCAGTCTAGAGACTAAGGTGAGCCTGATCCAGGTCATGGTCTTTGCAATTACTTGCTATGCTTTAGAGAGCTGAACAATGACTAAGTTGCAGTGCGAGAAGAGTATTGACCATTCCATAAATTGCCAAGAGAACAAACAAGTTTGTCCTGGATAGAGTGAAAATAAGTTGCTCCTTGGGTGCAGACATCATGCTTGGAAAGGTAGAGGGACACCCCAAGAGAAGATGACCTTGGAGGAGATGGACTCACACAGGAACTGGGGTAACTGGGTTAGATGTGTAGAAGACAAACTGGCTCAGGACAGGATTCAGAGCTGTTGTGCATAGGA